TTTGGGACATAAAAATTAATATTTGAACTGACTTTTTCTGAGAAATGTGTGGGTTATGGGACTAATAGTAACTTTCAAATTGAGGAATTACGAATCTACCTTTGGATCCATTGTCTCCTCACCTGCACCTCTAATATGTAAAATGCAAAGATGTTCATGAAAGGAGATAAAGAAACATGACTGAGATTAGCTGTAGCCAGTATAGCACCTGGATAAGTCACGGGGCTTTGACATCAGAATGTACCAACCAGGGCAAAGGATTGTTCTATTGTTGTTACATTGAGTTCCATTCAGCTTATTTGCCTCTTAACATGTGTAAGTTTACAGTATTAAATACAAAATTAATCACCCCCAACATAAAACAATTCTTGTTTATTAAATGATTGAAACCATCTGCATTCAGTTCCAGTTATTTTATTTGTTATAGATCGGAAAGAAGGGGAGGCCACACCAGAGCATTCCAATAACACACTTTATTCAGGGGAATAAAGGGGGCTGTCGCGCCTGCTTCTAACCAGGCAGACCTACCAGCGAACAGCAGCTGGCTCGACCTCGCAGCCGGCTTTTATAACCGGCTGTCGAAGGGAGCCAGCCAATGGGGGCTGCTGACGCCCCCGCGGAAGGAACGGACCTGATGGGGAACTTGTGTCAGTCCCGGGGACATAACACCCCTTCCCCCCAGATACGAACACGAATAGTCTTTTAAGTAAACGGGTGGCCTGTGCGAGCGCCCTGACCGGCGCAATTCTGGTGAGACACAAAGTGGCACAGAGTTCGGTGAGTCAGGAACGGGGCTTGCGGGAGCACAGGGTCGATCCGGAACTCGGTCTGGAGTCTGGGAATGACCACAGTCTTCAGGTTGGATTGTTGAACTGTCATCGTCACGTAACCTGGTAGTGTCATTGGACGGTAAGGCTGGCGACTCTGGTGGACGGTCCCGGTCTACCGTCCGTTCCCTCGGTTCGGCCGGCGGAGGCTGGTCACTCTGGTGGTCCCAACTCGGATTCAGGAGCAGCGACTGGAGTGTCCCTGGAGTCCCTGGGCCAGAGTTGGCAAATTCGCTCTGGCGACTTCTTATCTGGTCCAGATGTCTCCGCCAGACGCGCCCGTCCTCCAGCTGGATGCGGTATGATCTCGGACCGGTGATGGCCACGATCCTTCCGGGTACCCACAACGGATCGCCCGCGTAGTTCCGGGCAAACACTCGGTCCTGTAATACAAAACTCCTGACCCTACTGTTAGAACCAATTGGTGTGTCAGGGCAATAGTGGGGGTGCAGTCTATCTAACACCGTCCTCAAACGTCTGCCCATCAGTAGCTCGGCTGGAGACTTATTTGTGACAGTGCATGGGGTTGAGTGTTGGCTCAAAAGAAAACGAGAGAGTCTGGAGTGCCAGTCGTCTTGAGTGAATCTTGCCAACGCCTCTTTTGCTGTCCTAACGGCTCTCTCCGCCGTCAGGATATGTCGGATGCCCAGGTTGGTGACATACCGACTGAATTCTGTGGACGTAAATTGGGGCCCATTGTCTGAGACTATGGTGTCAGGCAGACCGTGTGTAACAAATAGGCAGGTCAGAGCCTGGGCAATTGCTCGGGTGGTGGTCGCGAGTAGGAGGGCCACATCGATCCATTTTGAGAATGAATCAACGACCACCAGGAAAGTCTTGCCGTGGAATGGCCCGGCCAAGTCAATGTGCAAACGTGACCACGGTGCGTTGGCACTTTCCCATTTGGTTGGGGTGGTGATTGGCAGTGCTGGCCTGGATTCCTGACAGGGACGGCAGGAGCTTACCCATTTTGCTATTTCGTCATCCATGCCCGGCCACCAGACGTAACTCCGAGCCAACGCTTTCATCCGGACGATGCCGGGATGTCCCTCGTGCAGCGCCTTCAGGACGGGTGTGCGCAGTGGTTCTGGAATGACAACTCTGGTCCCCCATAACAGGCAGCCCTGCAAACTGGAAAGCTCTTGCTGGCGGGTTTTAAACGGTGAGAATTCAGTTGAGAGATCGCTGCCCGGCCACCCCCTCCGTACCCAGTCCAGAACCTGGGCGATAAGTTTGTCTTTTTTGGAGTGGAGGGCGATGTCGCCGGCAGTGACTGGAAGGTTGAACTCACTGGCATCGAAAATGGCATGTACCGGGGCCGGGTCCTCCACGGGTGCTGGCAACGGGCAGCGGCTGAGGGCGTCGGCGTGGCTAAGGTGTTTTCCTGGACGGTGAACTAGTTTGTACGAGTAAGCCGCCAGGAATAAGGTCCACCTAGTCATCCTAGGTGACAAGACTTGCGGTGTCTGCTTTTCACCTGAGAGAAGCCCCAATAGTGGTTTGTGGTCTGTGACAAGTTCGAAATTGTGACCAAAAAGAAATTCATGGAATTTTTTGACCGCAGCTACGGCGGCTAGGGCCTCTTTGTCAATTTGGCTGTAGTTACGTTCAGTTGCTGAAAAGGTTCTCGAAAAGAAGGCGATTGGGGCTTCAGAGCCGTTGGGCAGTCTGTGACTCAAGACAGCCCCGATCCCGAAAGGTGAGGCGTCTGCTGCTAAGACTAGAGGAAGGTGTTGGTCAAACTGTATTAGGACAGCGTCCGAGGTGAGCAGCGACTTAACTGCCTTAAAAGCGTAATCCTCTTTGGGTCCCCAATACCATGGAGTGTTTTTGTCTAGAAGTCTATGCAGCGGTTCTGCTACTGACGCTTTGTGGGGTAGGAACGATGCATAGAAGTTTAGCAACCCCAGGAAAGCCTGTAACTCTGACTTGGAAGAAGGAGTGGGTGCCTCGTGAATGGCTTTGACTTTGGATTCCACCGGGTGGATGCCTGAGGCGTCTATTTTATACCCAAGAAAGTCAACCTGCTTAGTGGCGATGGCACACTTCTCTCTTTTTAGTTTGAGGCCATGCTGCCTGAACCTATCCAATACCGCTCTGACTCTGAGGAGAAGCTGGGGTCTGTCCCTGGCTGATACCAAAATATCATCAAAATACGGAACCACGCCAGGGAGGCCTTGCAGTATCCGTTCCATTAATGACTGAAATATACCTGGGGCGACGCTAACGCCAAATTGGAGACGTTTGCATCGGAATGCCCCTCTGTGGGTGACAATTGTTTGCAATTCGGCCGTTTGGTTGTCTACAGGAAACTGTTGATAAGCCTGTGACATATCCAATTTGGCGAATATGGTTCCTGGTTCAAATGTGTGTAGTAAGTGTTGGATCACCGGAACTGGGTACGCGCTAGTCTGCAGATAGCGGTTAATTGTGGTCTTGTAGTCAGAACACATTCTTATACTGCCATCTTTTTTTAGGGGTGTGACAATTGGGGTCTCCCACTTAGCAAAATCCATGGGCTCGATCACCCCTTGTTTGAGCAATTTGTCCAGTTCCGTGTCCAGTTTAGAGCACAGAGCAAATGATACTCTGCGTGGCTTTAAACGGACGGGAACTGCTTGGGGGTCCACTGAAAAGGAGATGGGCGTACCCTTATAACAACCCAATTCATCGCTGAACACATCAGCATAGTCTGAAAATAGCGAGTCGATATCGGAAGGTGAGACAGCATGAACTCCCGTTAAGCTAAGGCCGAGATAGGGGAACCAATCCAACCCCAAAAGGCTAGGGAGGGTACCATCTACCACCACTAAAGGCAGATGGCCTTTAAAGGATTTGAATTTAACAAGGAACTTGCCTGTTCCGAGTACTGGGATGTTCTTCCCCTGGTAGTCCCTCAAGGTGAGACGACTCTTCTGGAGCTGGTTTCTGGACAGGTTGGGTCGTAGTTTCTTGAGCATGCTCCATGAGATGATCGAGAGTGCTGACCCGGTATCGACTTCCATAAGACAGGGTTTACCTTCTAAATGGATAGAAAGCGTGATTTTATTAGGTGTCAGAAAAGTGTGGTTAGCTTGGTAGCACGTGTAACAATTTTCTACTTGCCTGGGTGGCCCCGGAGGGGAGTAAAAGGATGCTGCCTTTTGTGGAGCCACGTGTGTTGCCTGGCAGGCCCTGGCGATGTGGCCTTTCTTGCCGCAATTGTTGCAGGTGACGTTCCTGAACCTGCAAGTCGTTCTGGCATGGGAACCCCCGCAGGCGAGGCACAACAGGATGTGTTTGGACGTGTTGCTGTTCCCAGGCCTAGTTCCTACCTGTGGCTGCTTGGATGGCTTGAGTCGATGAACTTCTAGGTGCTCGACGGGGTCTTCTTCACTCACCACCTCCTCTGAGTGGATGGTGACTGGACTGGATTTGGCTGCGCTCCCTTGTATTTCGGCGGCTGATTGGGTCGCTAGCTCTGCTGCCAAGGCTTCCTCGATCGCTTGAGTGAGGTTGAGGTCTTTTCTAGCCAGCAAACGCCTCTGCAATCTTAAGTCTTTGACTCCACAGACGAGTTGGTCAAGGAGCATGTCGTCTAGGTAATTTTTGAATTCGCAGTGGAGAGCTGTGGTTCTCAGGGCGGCCAAATACTGATTGATAGATTCCCCATCTGCTTGCTTCCTCATGCGAAAGGCAAAACGTCTCGCGATCTGCGATGGTTTTGGGGAATAGTGGTTAGAGAGTGTCTCTAACAGCTCGGGCCAGGGGACGCTCTTTAACTCCCTGGGTGCAAATAGCGCTGTGGCGGTATCGAACACTGCGGCCCCGCAGTAACTCAGGAAGTACGATTTCTTCCTGTTCTCTGTAGCATCGGCCAGACCAATGGCATCAATGTAGTGATTGAAGCGGTTTCTGTAAGAGTCCCACTTGTCTTCATCTGGCTTAAATGGCGGGAACGCCGGATTTGAATTCATATTGGGTTTTCAGTCTGTTGGTAGACTGACCAATCTCACTGGGAATACAATGGCCCTGATAAGTGTGGCTTTCAGTCTGTTGGTAGACTGGCCAATCTCACTGGGAATACAATGGCCCTGATAAGCGTGGCAGCAGTAGCTTGCAGATCTGCCCCAGCTTAGTGTTTCAGCTCTTAGAGGTTCTCTCTGTGTTTCACGCTCTATGTGACTCTGTCGGCTATGGCTGTAGCCCGTAACTGACTTCCGTTTGAATTTCGCGCCTTCCCAAAGGCGTAGGCGGCTATAGCTGTAGCGTCGTGCTGACAGCTATTCAAATCGCGTGCCCAATGCGTTCTGGCGGCTGCGAGTACAGCGCCAAGCTTGCTAACAGCAGAATTCGAACATAGCAGTTGAATTCTGCGCTCAGTGTCGGCGGCTGAGGCTCTCAGCGCCCTGCTCTTCACGTAGCTTTCTTTTTTTTTTACACGGAGCGGGTACACGCTCCGCTTTCACTTCTGCAATCCACAACTGACCGAGCTCTCACGGCGCGGCTACGGTTCAGCGTTTGGTGTGTGATTTCAGCTCTTTGCTATTGCTGCTGGTTGGCCAGATCCCATCCTCGTCGCCAATGTTATAGATCGGAAAGAAGGGGAGGCCACACCAGAGCATTCCAATAACACACTTTATTCAGGGGAATAAAGGGGGCTGTCGCGCCTGCTTCTAACCAGGCAGACCTACCAGCGAACAGCAGCTGGCTCGACCTCGCAGCCGGCTTTTATAACCGGCTGTCGAAGGGAGCCAGCCAATGGGGGCTGCTGACGCCCCCGCGGAAGGAACGGACCTGATGGGGAACTTGTGTCAGTCCCGGGGACATAACATTATTGATTGAATTACCGAAGAAGCTAAGATAGGATAGTGACAAGCCATGAGCCAAAAATGATTCAGATGGTGTCTCTGAGCAACACTTATATTCAGCTCCAGTATTTTGCAATGAAGTAAATATTCTGATTTGTTAATCAACAGCCACTTCCAGAACACATTTAATATAGGCAGAAGTGGACTGTTATATACAAACATGCATTTATTACCATTGTGCCATATTCAGAATTATCTCTGAAATTCAGAATGCAGTAAATAAGCATACCAGATGATTTACAAGTGCTACATTAACTCAAAACTGTTGCTTTTTCCCCAGTTGGTTGAAAATGTTTTGTCTAATAAACTTAATACTTCCTTAGGAGACATGCATGATTTCTTTGTTGGACTGATGGGCAAAAGGACCATAGAGCCAGGTAGGTGTGAACTGAGGGTGCATGCGTTTCCTTAAGGGTCCTTTGTGAGTAGAATAGAATAGAATATAATTCTTTATTGGCCAAGTGTGATAGGACATATGAATATCCAAAGTGAAAAAGTGAAAAGTGAGGCACAAGTAATCCCAGCATACTTTCTACTTCCTCCTCTGAGCTGTGTCCTTCCTCTAGTTGTGGAGGTGGTTTATTGATAAGCAGAGGAGAGACTGTGGTCCTCATTTATGGACAGGAAACTGGATCATATAGGCTTTGGGTCTAATCTAGTTTCAAAGCCTGTCTCATATTCCAAATTAAATTTAGGATATTAGAAGAAAATCCATGTACCTATGATGGTTATTTAAATAATGAACTAAAATACTGCTGAGCCATATAATTCAAAAGAGGCATAAGAAAATATACAGTACCCTATTTACATACTTCCAGGAAGTGGGGAAGGCAGTCTTTGTCCCAGATGCATATGTGGTCCCTCTAGCACAGTGATGGCTAACCTTTTCGGGCTCCTGTGCCAAAAATTGTGTGCCCCTGCACATGTGCATATGAGTCCGCCTCCCCCCCGCCCCCTTACCTGCACTGTGCCTCCCAGCTGATTTTCGGCCCCTTTGAGGCCTTTTTCAGCCTCCCAGAGGCTTGAGAGAAGCCTCTGCCGCCTTTGCAGGCCAAAAAATGGGCCTGTTACATCACTTACGGTATTTCCGGAAATATAGGAAGTGATGAAACAGGCCTATTTTTCGCCCTGCAAAGGCTGCAGCGGTTTCCTTCAGCCTCTGGGAGGCTGAAAAAGGCCCAAAAATCAGATAGGAGGTGCACACATGTGCAGTGAGGTAAGCTTGCCTGGGGCTCGCGTGGCCGCACAAATGGCTCCGCATGCCACCTGTGGCACACATGCCATAGGTTCGCCATCACGGCTCTGGCATGTCATATTAAAACTTTTATCTGCCCCAAATCATCTAAGTGCAACTTATAACAACCAAAAATATCTGCAGGGAAAAGAGACAAAAATAATGAAAAGTGCATAGCAATACTGTGATTCAAATTCTGCCCCTTATGTACTTGTGTGTGACATGCAATAGAAACATTAAAAAGATGAAGCCTGTATTGTTATATCATGATGCATATTTTTTATCATTTTTGTGTCCTCTTGATTAGGAATGGCTATCTCTGCTGATCACCACAAGATTACTGTGATGGAAATTTGATTTTCCTACATCTTTTCTCGATCACATTTTATGTATAAAATGCATTATAAGAAGAAAAGCCTCTTCCAATTTCCCCTTTTTTCATGACAATTTTTGGACATTAGAAAAGGGCAAACCTAATTCTGTATTTTACTTCTGGCTCCTTCAGTTTTGAATTTTCCTTCTTGTTTTAACATTACCTCTCCCTATTATCAAAATTACGCACAATTACGCAATCAGATAGTGAACTCTCTGCTTGTATCCTCTATCAGTCATAGGAAAAACCGAACCGAACCGAATAGGGCAGGGATGTCAAACTCAATTTCATTGAGGGCTGCATCAAGGTTGTGTTTAACCTCGGGAGGGTGGGATGGGCATGGCCAGGGTGGGCGTGGCCAGCTCGACATTACTCGTGTTGGGGGTACCTGTGGTGGCCCAAGCGTTCTGTCAGTGAAAAATGGGCTCCCGAGCTCCGTTTTTGCTGTCAGAGGTACCGCGGGCCAATCCTTCACTCTTTCTAGGGCAGCCCCGCGGGCCAGATCTAAGGGCCTTGAGTTTGACACCCTTGGAATAGGGTTTCCATCAAACTGATGGGAGCTAAATGCTTTGGTTGGAAACCAACTTTCCTTATACTTTAATTCTAGATAATTCCATTGAACTCAGTAAGGAAACATTCACTGGTTTGAGTGACGTAAAGTACTTGCCGAATGAAGAATGAGGTAAGGAAAGAGGGGTCAAAACTCAAAACTTTTAAATGGGGTGAAAAGAGAAATTCTTCCACAGTTTTCTCTTATGTAGATTTTTTTTTTAACCATTTGTAAGATTTTAAATATGCAACCAATTTTACATATGATGAAAGCACACACAAGCATTCATACAATTTCATACATACATATATACATGTCCATGTCCATATACATATACATACATATGCGTGTGTGTGTGTGTGTGTGTGTGTATGATTGAAGCAGATAAGAACAGTGTGTGACTGATAATAGTAATCTTCCTTCATTTTTTTAGGGTAGGTTAGATGAGCACAGCAGATGCAGTAAGTAACCTGCCAGTGAGCAAAGTCGAGGCGCTATGAATTCTCTAGAGCTGAAACAAGCAAATTTATCGATAAAAGTATTTGTAAAATGTAAAATACTTTTAATGGTTTCAGCCTAGAGTCAAATTAAAAGTCTAATTCTGATGTATCCATTCCAATACCGATTGACCATAAAATGGCACTGCATTCAAGCAGTTTACATCTTTGTTGCTATTCTAGAGATTATCATTTTTTGCCACCCAAATAGGGTTGGCTTAACTACTCAGCATTTACAGGATGTGTTTTTGGTGAAATTTGTATGCATGTTCTTCAGTCAAAGTTACCTTTACTTTTGGAAGAAACATGGGATTATATCCAGAAATGAGTACTGTACCCAATGTTCTTTATACTTCCTTGAGCAATGAGTTCCGCAGGGATGGGATTCTACCGGTTCTGTCTGGCTCTGTTGAACCGATAGCTCACGCAAACCATAAATCACCCAACTGGTAGTTACACCGGTTGGATCCCTCCCCTGGTTCCAGGGGTAAGCTTCTCGGGGTCGATGAGAAAGCATTAGAGACTTATAAAGTCTTTATAAAACCCACTTAATTTTTTAAAAGGGTAACAATAGGGAACAGAGGCAAACAAACACCTCAGCACAGGGGAAGACAACTTGAGTAACATACATTCTGTATAATTTTTGATCGAAAGTTGCCCAGAGTTTGCTATAAGATGGGCTGCTATATAAATGTTTTAAAACCAATAAATAAAATTAAGTATAGGCTGCTTCTCTATCAGTTCCATCTCTTTCTTCCCATAGATTCTTCTATTTCCTTCCCTGCTGAAAAGTACTGCATATCATGTTCTGAAAGCTGCATTTAATACACACCGAAGTAAAAGGGTGGGGTTTTTTTTTGCCTTTTGGGAAACCAGTTTCTAGCCTACTATTAAAACATTAGTTGATCATCACTATTAGTGATCCTTATGTATGTAACTAAAAACAGTCTTGCCAATTGCCAATTGTTTCAACTCTGAGATGTTAAATATTAGATCTGATGAAAATGGTTGGTCGTAACTCCTACTGATGTTTCTTAGATAGTTGCTTAGATATGTCTCATTAGAACTGTAAGTAGACATCTGATCTGCTTTGTCAGAGTCCCCAATACAATATATCATTGGAAATTTAGCAGCAGCCCGTCAATGATCATGAATTCATCTTATAATAAGTTCAGCTGTGCTGATTTTAAGTTAACATTACACAGAATTGGGGGGCAGTGTTTTCCTTCAAATCCATCAGATTAAATTACTTGTGATACATTTTTAAGAAAAAGGACAAATCAAATGATTTTGGAATCCATAGATGATTCAAAATGACCACACTTGCTTGCTTTCCAGTAATGGTCTCTATACATGTTTTAGGCTGGCATCTATAAAGTCAAATCCATAAATGAACAGAATTTTCCTATTTTCAAGTATTGTTTAAGTCAAATGAGGTTTTATTTTTAAACAACTTTCAAAGCCAATCATTCCAGATAGTGCTTTGCTTGATGTATTTATCAAATTTCTTGTAATTTCATGTAGCTGTGTTCAGTCTGTATGCACATTACACTATGCCACTGTGTATTTTATTATTTTTTAAGTTTTACTGCATTGTGTTGCTTCCTCCAATACAGCTTGATGCACAGCAGCACAATTTGAGCCCAGGCAGGCAACTCTCCAAGATTATTTTACAGCTGTTACCAAACTGCAGTATTGAAGAGTTATTAAATTTTCATTGAAATAATTATTCCCATCATTAATAAGCATTGATCAATTAAATAAAATGACAATAAATATAGTTTTCCTCATGACACATCCAATTTTTGCTTTGGGCCTTAGCATGCTTCTCTAACAACAGGTGTACTCCTCATCCTAAAAATGCCTATGACTCTCCAGTCATAAATAAACCAAGCAGGTTTTCTTACGCCTTAGTTCAACAAAATATCATTTTAAACAACCTAGAACATTGTGTTAGCTGAGTTCTGAGGAACTGTTTCAGAGCAGACACTGTATGGTAGAACTGAATGTAGATAGTTCTAAAGTAGATCTTAAGTAGAACTTAGTTCTGGATATGGGACAAAATAAATTCTGGACAGGTGAGTGTTTGGCCAATGTGATGCACATCCCCCTCTTTCCCCTCAGCAGTTTTCTGGGCAGCACTTTGCCTCAGGATTCCTGCCATCCCTTCTTTCCAATGCACTCCCTCTCCTCCACTATCATCACTGTTGTTGTGCCCCAGGGCACTATATGCCACCAGTCTGCTCTCTGCTTCGGGGTAGGATCCGACAGGGTTAACTACCGGTTCGATGATTTACGAGGTTCGGTGATTTACGATGTGCTTCCCTGCACGCTGCTTGGGCGCGCCTGTAAATTGTCATCAGCATACCGCGTGCATAGAAGCAGCCTTTCAAAAAGCCCTTTTTTCCTGCTTTTTTAACTGCAGCTGTGCTTCGTTCGAGAGCTGAAGTTGAAAAAATCAGGAAATAAAGGTCAGGTAAGAGCCTGGGTGGGCAGGTAGGCAACAACATCAGCAGACATAGAACCAGTTCTATGTTTGCTGCTCTTCAGAGCTACCGGTTCTACAGAGGTGGACAGAACCGGTAGAAACCCACCCCTGCTCTGCTTCCCATCTTCCCATCCTTCCCTCAACCATTGATGTTCTGGGCATTTTCACTATTCCCGATTCCAAAACATTTTTGTTCAGACAAAGTCCTCCCCCTTTCCCAATCGACACAACTGTAACATGCATGTTTCAGTTTGGGCACAGGCTACCTCAAAACTGTTTGATGCACAAAATGGGTCTTGCACTGATTTTTTTTTTTTAACAACCTGTGTTAACTTTATATGCGAATGCAACCTTGTTCCTTTTGGTTTGGTTTATTATGCCAAAAGAACCTTTGCATCTGTTTGAATCCCTATCTATCTAATCTTTTGTGGCGTCTTTTTAACAGACAACTGCACTGTATATTGCGCTCAGCTTTGTTTTTACTTAATCTCTTCTTGTACAGGTTTCATGCAAGAGTGAGGACAAGCAAAAAGTCTGCAAGACTTCAAGAAACCAACACAAATTAGATTTCACCCACCAAAGCCCAGTATACTTTCAACCAAACCAGAAACTTTGATGTACCCTGGAACTTCTTCATCTTGTCCCAGCTGCCTCCCATGTTCTTTTCCTTAATTAAGCTCTTAATTACAGTCTATAACTAATTGTAATGCTTTAGTGTTCACTGTTGGAATATTTTGACAATTGTCCCTAGTCCTCATAGTGCTTTGTCCTCCTGTATACATGTGACTTGAATCTTGCAGAACCTTTTCCATGTAAAAGCATCCTTCTGCGCATTCTTCTATGGCACAGAATAAGAACACCTCAGTCTTCTATATTAACAGGGTTTTTACTTATGACCTGCCACAGTGTCTGTCTCATTCTTTGTTTGATACTTCAGATGACTCCTGTCATTATTGGAGAGGGGGGTATTGTTTCAACAAAATCAATAAACCAACACATTTACAAAATGGCACAAGTTACTGGCACAATGTACAGTACATATTCAAATCTTATCTGCTGTTCAGGAGACCATATTTTAGGATTGCATTATACTTGCACTGGAGGCCCAATGTCATTGTTTGTGCCATATATGTCCCATAGGTGCTTTTTCAAAAGGCAACTAGAAGTTTTGTGTTTTTCTTTGAAGACGTTTTGCTTCCCATCCAAGAAGTTTATTCACAGAAGCGAAACATCTTCAAGGAAAAACAAACAAAGTACAGTTGCCTCTTTTAAAAGCACTATGACCTGGATGACAGAATCTCCATAGACATTGTGCCATAGGTGTACAAAATGCTACTACATTCATGCATGGTCCAAAAGCATCTTACAACAATCTCTTTGGAAACTGCTGATTTGCATCAGACATAGTATAAGGCAGGCGTACATGTCGGATAATACACAGATGGTCTGGGCAACCCCCCAAAAGAGTCATCTGTCAAAATTTGGATCTAAGTTGGAAACAGAACTACAAGTTTACAAACATATAAAACCTTATACCAGATAGTTGTAGATATAGGCCAGGGGTGAAATTCAAAATTTTTCCCTACTGGCTCTGTGGGCGTGGCTTGGTGGGACTCAGTTTCTAAAAGGAAGAAGGCGGGTGGGTGTGGGCGGGGCCAACCGATTCAAATCTTCCCTACCACCTCTCTGGAGGTGGTTGAATTTCACCCCTGATATAGGCCAGTGGAAGTATCCCGTGTTAGTTGAATTTTCAACTCAACAAGGAAAATTCCATGCACAGCTTATTAGAGTTGTCAAATCCAGTGGCTTTAGAAAGAAATCCTAAAGTTGGTAACTAAACAATAGTCGTCCCAAAGGTGCTTTTTCAAGAGGCAACTGGACTTTCTGGTTTTTCTTTGAAGATGTTTTGCTTCTCATCCAAGAAGCTTCTTCAGCTCACAATAGTAGCAGACTTTCTATACTCTAAATGAGATCTATTTATTTTTTCTACTTACCTATCTAAAGAAATCCATGTATGTTACTGGACAAATCAAGGTTTAGGTAACCTCTTAGCAAGAATCCAACTAAAAACCATTAGTTAACCCATGACAAGGAATCATGGTGTTTATAAGGAATACCCATATTTTTAAGTTTGCCATTCCTTAAGCATTACCTTTGAGTAGACTCCTGACCACCTGAAGAAAGCCATGTGACAGAGAAGAGATGTGTTCATTTTTTTCAATCCACTTTTGGAACATGATGTTTAAGAATGGCAATGGGATTGCAGGCTTTTTGGAGACCCCTATCATTCCTGTTTACAATTCTACCTAAATCGAGGGAAAATCCTTTTAGATCATGATTTCATGAGTGGCAAACTTGATACCTAAACTCCTTTCTCAAGTCCCTCCAAACTCCTTGAAGTAGTATTGAAATTTGTCAGAACAATCTTAAGAATGCCGAAGAATCCATAAACAGCCCTTCCCTGGCTGCATGTAATCGATTTCTGCTATTAACATAGGTGAATTTCTCTTAATATTTATTTCCTCTACTCCAAGTAGGTTTATTAAGCTTTTCAGGGGATTTATCCCACCTAAATGTGCTTTGTCAATAAAATGCCAAACTTAGTATAACCCAATCAAGAGTCAATGAAATAAAGAGAGCCAGCAGTTAAGGCACCAAGGTAGGAGCTTATGAGTTCTAGTCCTGCCTTGGGCACAAAGCCAGACAGTTACTTTCTCTCCGCTTTAGGAAGAAGACGATGACAAATCACTTCTGAAAAACCTTGCCAAGAAAACCGCAAAGACTTCCAGGCGGTCACTAGAAGTCAAAATTGACTTGAAGGCATAAAAGAAAAGACTATCCTCACTAAGCATCTGAGTATATAAAATGAAAGCTATTTTTTTAAAATCAATGAAATAGCTCCACTTTTATAAAATAGGAACTACAGCAGAGTGACCTCTGGACTCACCAGCTCACAATTATGTAATCTGGTTTGCATAATTTCCAGATTTTGTTCTTCCTAAGGATGCCAAAGTTCAGTCCCGAAGAGTCAACCCTTTGTGCCAGCACTGAGCGATTTTGAAATAGAGAAGGCATTAGAACAAGATGAAGATTTTTCCACAAAAGATCTTTGCTTCGAAATGTGCATATAGTGTGAGCCCATATGAATTATTCAAAAGAACGATGTTTTTTCCCTTTAAAGCAATAGGTGTCTTTCTGGAGGGTGAACAAGAGCTGTTCCTGGTTGTTTTTGCAACTATGTACAATGAAGTGACTGGGCATGCAATGGCAGCCGAGAGCACCTTTTGAACTAGTCCTGCAAACTCGCAAAAAGACAATAATTTTATTTCCTGCAGAGCCATATTTGAAACCTCTATATGAAGCCCATCATAATTTTCTAGTGATTATAAGAAAGCAGAACTGGCACATTCCAACTTTAAGAACAGTATAGATACTTGATACTTAAACTCCTTTCTCAAGTCCCTCCAAACTCCTTGAAGTACTATTGAAATTTGTCAAAACAATCTTAAGGATGCTGAAGAATCCATGAACAGCCCTTCCCTGGCTGTATATAATAATATGAGAGAAGCAGAATCGATTTCTGCTATGAACATAGGTGAATTTCTCTTAATATTTATTTCCTCTGATATGATTCGCTTGGCAAAAAGATCAACCAGGTGCAACTCACAGAAACAACACGTTGCTTAGCAATGGAAATCCCCACCTCAATTGTGGTTGTATATTACAGTGGTCACCAACCAGGGGACCACTGGTGGTCCATGAGAAAATTTTGGTGGTCCACAGAGAAATGTCACCCCTAAAACACCCCCCAAAGCAATTAATCCAGGCTGCGTGCCCACATGGCCTGTGGGAACACAAGGCTTGCGTCGCTTGCATTGCGAACAACATGTAGTGAGTGAAGGGGGGAAAGGGTGGAGGGGGGAATCTTGCCCCACTTGCTCCACGTGCCTCACCTGGCCACTGGGCTGCTTCTTTCTGCTTCTTTCTTCTGCTTTTGGCTGCATGCAAGGAAAGCAGCAAAAGTATTTCTTTCTCTCCTCCAAACTCTGTCAGAAATGAGTCTTTGGGACCCTGCAAGGCATCCTGCTCCAAGAGGCTGTGCCATTCTGGCAGAGTTTGCGGGAGAGAAAGAAAGACTTCTGCTGCTTTCCTTGCATGAAGCCAAAAGTCTCCCTTTCTCCCCCCACAAACCCAAGAATGGAACTAGAGACTGTATCCTGCGATCCCAAATAAAGAATGATCGATCAGTAGGAAAACGGGGTGGGGAATTTCCCTGCAGACTTTTGGGGGGATTTTCCCAGGGTCTCTGGTGCACGAGATTTAAAATTATGAGTTTGGTGATCCCTGAGGTCCAAAAGGTTGGCGACCCCTGGTATGTTAAGGACTACCTGTATCTTCCATTGAGAAATTAAGGGGGTCGATTTTTCAGTGGACAAGGAGGAGTCGGAGTCAAAGTAGTTTGTCTAAGAAAAATTCTGACTAGACTTGATTATAGGTAGTTCTCAACTTACAACAGTTCATTTAGTGACTGTTCAAAGTTTCAATGGCACAGAAAAAAGTGAATTATGACTATTTTTCATACTTACAACTGTTGCAACATCTCCATAGTTACATGATTCAGATGCTTGGCAACTGATTCATATTTATGACGGCTGTAGTGTCCCGGGATCATGTGATGTTTTGTGACAAAGTCAATGGGGAAGCCAGATTCACTTAACAACCGTGTTACTAACTTAAAAATTGGAATGATTCACTTAACAACTGTGGCAAGAAAAGTTGTAAAATGGGGCAAAGCTCACTTAACAAATGTTTCACTTGGCAACATATATTTTGGGCTGTTGTGGTCATCAATCGAGGACTACCTGTAGTAGCAATTGGCTGAGATCTCTGATCTCTCATAACATGATTCATTGGTAAATCTGAGCAGCCAGGTGGTGGAAGGGAAGTTTCCCTTAGCCATACACATAATAACTTCAATCCAAAAGTTTAAATCAAAAGGTATTTATTAAAGAAATATGAAAAGGGAATTCTAGGGAAATTCTGTATTTTTTAAAAAACAAAAAAATGGTATACTTAGTATAGAGCAATTATTAAAAAGGCTTCATTTCTCCTATTAACATCTAATCTCCTGTATAGGTTCTGGTTTTAAAATATGTTAATAATGATTGTTTTTGATATGTTTACTGTTTTTTATCCTTACTTTATGTCACTTTTGGTGGGATGGGTGTCCAAATAAACTTGAAGAAATAATAAATAAGTAATTATATAGTCAGAAAGAGCAAATGAGCACTAATGCTGCTACACTGTGGAAATAACTTCTGATTCCGATTAGTTTTAGTTAGCATTTTTCTGTAGAGATACTGTCATGAAGCAATGTTATCTCAAATCTGGTTCTCCAAGTCCCTTTCTCTCTTAAAAAAAAAATCAATAAATCCATTTTGAAGTGAGAATGGCTGGAAATTTTCTTCACAGTTTCCCATTTTCTGTGCAGCTCTTCACATCAGTATTTGTAACAGTTCTGAAATAGCACTGCCAAAGGAGTTAGCAGGGTGCCTTTGAGGGAATGAACTCAATCCAAGCGAGAAATAACCAGGAATTTCACAGAAGAGAATCAGTGAGACTGATTAATTAGAGAAGGATTTTCTGTCCCTTGGGCATTTGAAGCAGTGGGCCCCACGGTAATTTCTGCATTTATTTATTGATACCCTGCTGCAATATAAAAGCCATCTTCATGAAGAATAAATAAACCCAGTTTGGATAAGCGGCAAGAGTAATTGAATAAGGCAAACACCCTTAGGCTCTGCCTATTTGAGGCCTCAGCTATCTGAACAGTACATTACTTTTTAAAAGCCAACTGACCTCCTAGGGAGACCAAAA